AAACGAAAACTGCTATATTTTTATGAAAGAAAGCAAGAGAGCATAAGGGCAGAACATTTATATGTTAAAGAAATTAATACTTATATTTTTGTCACCCAATCTGTTTATTGAAGGAAAGAGAAAGTAAGCGATGACAAAAATTACACGAATTAAATTCATACAGAAGATTAGAAATACTGAAGCATTGAGAGGAAAATTTTAGTAATTTCTTACTTGTAGGTGGCTTTTATGGCCAGAGTAACCAAAAAAGCTGAAATACAGGAGTTAAGGCCAATACCTAGTGTATCCACTGAAGAAATAAGACAATATGTGTGATGAAGATTATATTTAATGGAGGTGGATTTATATGTACTAGTTGGAAGTATTAAAAGTGAAACCAAGATTTTCAGTTAAGAATATTGAATGCTTATACAAATACACGAAGTGAAATGCAGAGCAATTTTAGAAAATAAAATATATATGTTCATGCAGTTAACAATATGGTATAGTAATATCTAAGATTCATTAATAATCGGTATCAGATATATATTTAAATTCATTTTCGTACAGTTACTGTGTAGTCGTTTATGTTATATTATATTGTGATGTTAAAGTTCTCTTATTTTTTACACATCCAGTTGCGTGTTTTCGAATTTGCATGAATATTTCAACACGTCTTTACCATAAATATGATTCAGTTTTTAACTTATGAATTGTAAATGCTTCATACGTTGACTTTAAACGAGATTGTTGATATCCTTGTAACATCAACATTTTTGTAGTAGCCTTTCTGGGTGTAGAAATGTTTAATACACAGAACATGTTTTTTTCTTTATTGAATCAACTAGGATACATTTAATCTCCACATTCAGGTGAAAGTGGTATAGTGCTACATTAAAAGAGACGCTGACAATAGAAAAATTGAAATCATCACGTTTTTCTTAAAGTTAAGTTGTTAGTTTGCTATTAATGACATTCTCTAATAAAACATCCAACAATAAAAAGGATGAATCGGACTCTGTGTCATATTTAAAGTTCAGTGGGAAACCACAGTAAGAGACTTGTTCATTTCATGTTGAAGTTTTTAAAACAAAATTCTGCTTCAAAAGCGTGCAAAAAGAGTCACCTGATAAAGGGGCACATTAGTACTTATGCAAATTTCAACAGAATTGTTGAATGACCTGGTCTCCAAAAGCTACTTAGATAATGTCAACAAGGAATCTTTTTAATTTCAACAGCGTACTTGTGTGGGAAGATTCAGAATGATTTTCAACAAAGAAATGTTGTAGATGACCAATAACAAAGAATTAACAAAATTCACCGTGCTTAAAAGAAGAACGCTATGAAAACAAATTTAGAAACCGTCCTTTATGTGTTATGAGGTTTTATTCCCATTTTTGGTGTTATAAGCTAATTGCTTTTTAAAAGAAACTTTATAAATCATAGCTATAGTGGTTGCTCTTTTGGGTATCATTTGAGTAACATTTTGAGACTTATGAATACTTATAATTAATGTGTCGAACATGAAGCTGTTTGAAAAAAGCAAGGTGTAAGCAATAAAGGCCAGAATTAAGTTTTCAAACAACAATTATCTTATCTTTTTTTTAATTTTAAAAGAATTATTTTGAGCAAATATATTGGATATGGAATTATTATAAAAAAAATATGTTTTGAATCCTGCTATTCTTATATAAGTATGCTTAATATGTGTGAATGTACATTATTAAGGTTAATATATAATTCATTTATAGTCATTGGCTCATGTAAAGTATTTCTCAGCATGTTTCTTAAGTTTGTGTGTAGGTTAGAATATACCTATATATAAAGGTTTGCATCTAGATGTAGAATATACAAATTAATTTAAAAAAACCTAAACATTTGATATTTAAGTTATCCTCGTTGTAATTAATAATGCTTGTACACGTAGATATCTATTTTCCTGCCTATACAGTTAATCATGCAAACAATTTTTTCAATTTAACACGTGTATTTGCAAGATAATATGTACATTATACATATAAATGTACATATTTATTGACATACATGTATTTTTGTTAAGTTGTGTTCTTTTTCATATAGAATATATATTTATGATGCTTGTAAACTTGTGATTTGCTCTGAGAAACGAGCTACCCGGTATATATCATTATTAATTAATGATGTTGCATTGCAATCTTCGCACAAATAAGTAACCATAAAGGTCCCTGACATCTCAATGAATTATGAATTTTACTTTAAAAAAGAAAAAAGTTATATCAGTAATAGGTGGATCAAGGGAATCTTAGAATTTTCGGAGGGGGTATGAGACTGTGCTTAGAAAAGAATATATTGTTCGTACCATGGAAAATTCTAGCATGTGTAAGAGATACTTGCTGTATTTAATTTCACCAACTCTTCAGTCAGGTAAAGTAAATGTACTAAATGGAAAAACAACCGCATTCTTAACTTATGATGTTGAATTGAACAAACTTTTAAAAAATCGTTCCATTTTTTTTAAAAAAAAAAAATTAACTTGCAAAATACATGTACATGCAATAAAAGAAGGATCATTTTGAAAGATAAAGACCCAGAATTAGTTTTTACACCTTCATTTTTATAACAAAAGTAATGTTTTATGATGTGATTTGTTTTTCCTGTTTTCATGAGAAAGGCATGACGACATGAATACTAATGTCGAGGTTCTCAGTCCAGTGTAAGTGTATATAAAATATTTTTTAAAATGAATGACATCATTTTACCAGAGACCTATATACATATAGGATCTCCCATGATTTGTAGTTGGATATGATTTTTATCCAACGAGTTGTGTGTTTTTTATCCCCGAGCCTTGGCGAGGGGATAAAAACACACAACGAGTTGGATAAAAGTCATATCCAACTACAAATCATGGGAGATTCTTTTTATCCCATGTTTAATACTTCACAACCAATGTTTTACACTGTTTTATATAGGACTCCACTTTATTTTACTTCATCGCGCTAACGCAAAAACCATTGTGACGTCACAACTGTGGATTATGAAAAATTTATCCAATGAGTCATATCCACGGGATAAAGGGGTAAACATGGGATAATATAGTATATAGGTCCCTGATTTTACCTCTACTGGTCGAAGATCAGAAAAGATTATGCAGACTTGTAAGGTGTCCGTTTTGTCTTGGTATCATATTGTATTGTATTTTTTTTTAATTTAATGGGTAATGCATTAATTTAATAAAAAGGTACATGCAAAATGTGTAACTTGATAATTTTGAATTTACTGGGTTAATGTAAATGCAAAATTTATAACACGATAACTAGTTATCATGTTGTAAATTTTACAATTAGCGCGGCCACCCAGTAAATTCAAAATTTACAAGAAATTGGTAAGTTATCTGTTTTTGTCTTGGTAGGGTGTTCGTTTTTAGCTCTACTGTTCAGAGACCAGAAGAGCTTATGCGATAGTAAGGTGTCCGTCGTCCGTCCGTCTAGCTGTCAGTCTGTCCGTCTGTCTGTCAACAATTTTTCAAAACGCTACTCCTCCTACAGTTTTGATTTCAATATAAACTTGGCACACAAGTAGAGTACACTAAAATACACAATTCTATATACCTGTTTTTGATTTTGATGAATAGTGTTATCATAGTTAATAACAAAATAAACAAAAGAAATTTCTGAGAAATACTTTCAAAATGCTACTCCTCCTACAGTTTTGGTCTCATTTCAATATAACTTGGCACACACGTAGACTACACTAAGATACATAATTCTGTTTATCTATATTTGATTTCGATGAACGGTGTGGGTGGCATGGTTACTAAATATAGAAATTTCTGTGAAATACATTCAAAACACTACTCATCCTACAGTTTTGGTCTGATTTCAATATAACTTTGGACAAAAGTAGACTACACTAAGATACATAATTCTGCATATCGGTTTTTGATTTGGATGAATAGTGTTGCCATGGTTACTAAAATAGAAATTTCTGTGAAATACTTTCAAAACGCTACTCCTCCAACACTTTTGTTATGATTTCATAATAACTTGGCACACAAGTAGACTACACTAAGATACATAATTCACTTTAGCGGTTTTTGATTTGGTGAATGGTGTTGCCATGGTTACTAAATATAGAAATTTCTGTGAAATACTATCAAAATGCTACTCTTCCTACAGTTTTGGTCTTAATTGAATATTACTTGGCACACAAGTAGACCACACTAAGATACATAATTCTATTTATCAGTTTTTGATTCCTTTGAACGTTGTTGCCATAGTTACTGAAAATAGAAATTTCTGATTTCAATACAACTTGGCACACAAATAGTTTACACTGAGATACATAGTTGTCTTTATGGTTTTTTTTTTATTTTGATGAACGATGTTGCAATGGTTACTGAAAATCGAAATTTCTGTAATTTTTTTTCAAAAGGCTACTCCTACAGTTTTACTCTCATAGCGATAAATCTTGACACAAAAAGAGACTAAACCATGGATCATTATTCTATTTATTGTTGTTGCAAAGCTTCAAGTCCAAGTGCTACTTTTCTCTTCCTTTGTTATAAATACATGTACAAACCAGAACAGTAGAGCTACAGTCTCATCAGAGACTACGGGTTGTATTTGTAAACAAGTTATATTTTTTCTACATTTTATAGAACTTAGTCAGTCTACAACTGACGAGAAGATGAAATTTTAAAATTCATTATTTTTTAACTATACCGGTTAGAATTGCAAATATATTTCGTTTTCAGTGACACTGTAACCAACTTACCAATGTGATGTATTGCTCAGTACTTTGGTGTATAATACTGAAGTATAATACCCGTTGTTTCATTTTTGAGCACCTGATATTGAAGAAACCCTTGTTTCATTAATTTACATGAATACAATTAAAGGTATGGTTTAGAAGGGAAAACAAGAATAGAGAAACAAAGTTTACAGAAATTTAATCCAGCAACTCTGCAAGACAAATACTTGACAGAATATAAACAGAATTACAAGAAAAAAAATGAATGGAATGACTTTTATTCATAATGATATTTTTGAAATACTATACTCTCAAATGTTGTCGAAGTACCGGAAACCACCATCATCGGGGACGGTGTATTTTAGGTCTAGTAACTTTTTCGGTATTTTTTCGTATCCAAAAAGAGACGTATCTATTAGAAGAGCATCCCTCAGTCTCTCCATCAACACAGGGCTAATTCTGCTGTATGCCTCTAACATGGCCTCCTCGCGGTTTTTCTTGCGAAATTTTTTATCCCCTGATTGCGCATGCGCTTTGAATAACGCATCCTTGAACTGTTCTGGTGTAACATTCACATCTCTGTCAATTGGGAATGGAAACTTTACATGTTTACTTAAAATCCCACGTATTTGAAGTTTCCTCCATGCTCGGTAGAGTCCTTTAGTAAATGTCATACAATTAAGTATAGAGCGTTTCATGGAATAAACATAATCTACTGTATCTATGAGTGCATCGGTTTCAGTTTCATTTTGAAAATTGCTAAATTTAATCATATCTTCTAATTCCAGTTTTTTCAAGATATGAAATGTGTCTTCTTGGAAAGTTTCAAGTTTTCCGATGTAGTCATAATCTATTTCACAAGGTCTGCAATGTTCAAAACTAGGGACAAAATGTGCATCTCGGCGCTCATTAGAGTTCTGGGAGTAAATGAAATATTCCACAAACTCTGAAAATGTAACGTCATGTCCACATTCAAGACTAACATTGGATGGATTTTCACGGAAATTTTTAACAATATGTTTTCCAATAAAATTCCAGTATGCTGTGTTTGGCGAATAGATTTTATCCACGTATCCCGAGAGTAACCTTTCAAAAGGTTCTCTTACAAACATGAATTTTGTTGACATGCGCAGTAACTGATAAATTTTGTCAAACGGAAGTCTTTTGGCGGTGGAGAATCCCTCATAAGCTTGGATTCCTTTAATGCTAAATGGATTGCTCACATTTCTCCAACCACTCAAAATCTGGAAAATTCGCTTCCAAAATGTACATCCGATTTTTTCGATTGCACAATATACAATTTTATTTTTTCGATTAAGGACTAGATGTTCTTTGACAGCTGCCTCTGAATTTTGAGCGACATAATAATTTTTTAATCTTGAGCACTCTTCTCTTAAATGTTTGTTTCTTTCCTCAAATCTCTTCTGAACAGGGTCATTGAGCATCTGAAAAATAAAAATTGCAACAATGACAATTCCTAACTGTCCTTTTTTTAAATAGGAAATGAATTCACAATAAAAAGTTAGTGCCTATTTCATTGGAAATGAAAAAAAAAATCACGAGTTATTCAAATATGAAGCTCATCTCAGTAAGCCTGCATGATTTTATAGATAGAACAAACTACAAAATCAGCCTTTGGTTCGAAAAGAAGTTTACAAAAAACAGAATTCCAAGATGAAGATTAGACATTGGTCAAACCAATCACACTACATACTTATAAATACATACAACTGAAAGTTAATCAAGACGAGGTCTTGTTTTGAGTGACTGAATCGGGTCGACAAATTTAGCATTCACGAATGAGTGACAACAGTGATATATCGCTGTCAATAAGAAATGAACTTATCTCCCCGCACAAGATGATACCTACTCGAATTATCTCAGCTTCGAATTATCTTCCGTGAAAAGTTTCAAGGGTAAAGGGCTTGGTACTTTACTCGTAAAATGACAAGGTTAAGAAAAACATCTTAAAGTTCAAATTACTACATGACTTTAATGCAGTTGCTAGTTTGCACACGTAAATGTTTTAAAAATCTTTCGTTTAACTTTTTAGACACTTACAAAAATGTGCCTGCTCAGTATTCGCTCTTTTCCCCTCTCTTTGCCGGAATCCACTGTCAGCTGTCCTTAAATGAAAAAAGAGGCAATCAAATATTACATTTTGAATGAACAGAGAATTCTACAGTGTAATAAGATACTTCCATTATCGTTTGCAAAAGCAAGTTTTTTTTGTTTTTTGTTTTAATGAGTCTGTCATGCAACATGCCATTGTGTTCCTTGAGAAAGTATTAACTTTATGTGTGTTAATAACTTCAAAGTCTATTGAAAAGAAGTAATATATGTATTTAAAAAGGAAATAACATGTTCTTTATACCTTTTACTGTCTATAAAGCTGTTTAATTTCATTAATTATTTTTAGATGAATGAAACATCTCATTTTATTAATGATTTCCGCCTAGTGAGTCGGAAGACATTGATGTGACTAGATCCTACCTCTTACCCATGGGCAATATTTCAAGTAAAGTTTCATATTTGATCCTTTACGTAAAACAAGACAACATCCCTTGTTTATCAAGTTACCAAAAATATATAACTTTTTTTCTTTATTCTCTTACAAGTGTTACTTTGTTTTTTGGTTGTATCGTGATTTGTTGAATTAAAAGGACATTTTCTTGAGCGGTTGACCGCTAACCATATATTGTTTATACAAGTATGGAATCGGCCCACCAGAGTTAGGATTTGTGGTTTTTACATGTCTTGTTAAGAAAGTGACAAAATAACTGCATGGCTTAATAAACTGGAACTTCTATATATTACAGTGTAATTACAATTCAATATATATAAAAAAATAAAACTATATTTTATATTATAAATATTTTATATTACATAATAGATAATATTTTATGTTATAATTTCGTAAAACGTGGATATATCCAGTATAAATACAGAAAATGTGTTTCCAAACTATTCTAAATATAAATGCCATGACCTATATACAAAAATAAAATTATGTTTCATTGATATTTTCTTATAAGAATTTGTTATGATGTTATGCCTTATAAATGGCTCCTTTTTATGTTTAGCGACACTTGTTGCGTGGGTTATTACATTCTTTTACGAGTTGTCCTATTAATCCATGATTGTATGCGTCAGTTAAGATAATGTTCGATTTTTCTGACACAGTTGAGGTCATTAACAAAGAACAATGTATTGTCATGAGATTATTTACTTGTTTATACGAGTAAATAAAATACTGCCGCTGGTCAGATGTATGCTTTCAAGGTGAAAAAAATGTGTAGTAATCGAGGAAATATGGGATTCACCTGTGCAAAATACCTGGCATAATACTAAAATATCATACTGTAATGATTATACGGCCATGTGATATAGAAAATAAGACGGTTCCGATATTTTGACTTATTTATCAAATCTTTATCATTTCTTCCCATTTAGATAAAGACTGGGATTTCTTTACACAAATTCTTTTCAAAGGTTTAGGAGAAGTTTACAAGATCAGTAACAAGAAATACATTTCGAATAGAATTTTTTGTTTCCTATTCGGCATTGGTATCAATGCAGAGTATTGCAGTTACTTGTAAGACTTTTTATCTGTGATATGAATATTAAGTAGATTTTAAGCAAATGGTAGGATTAGGGTATTTTCTATAGATATATTTAAGTTTATTGTAATTTTGCATTAACATTTACATGTGCGAGTGTTTTCTATCCCTCAATGATGACAGTGTACACAAACGGTATCATATGGCAAACAAGACATGAATTCCACGTATCAGTGCATTTAATGGTCAAATTTCAAGTTCCTGCTCTAGTTTCTGTGTCCTGCATAAAATTATATACTTTCAATACTAAGATTCAATTTCACTAGAATTTAAAAACATATCATTGCTTTTAAAATACAGATTTTCGTAAAAAAAATTAATTTAATTTTATCATCCCTTATCATTCAAGAATACTAATTTATATAACAGTTAAATACCAATTCATACCAATTTATATACAGGTTAAATGACAATTTATATATACAACGGTTATATACGAATATGAGACTAATAAAATTGTACTATGCACATCAATTTTAAATTAAAGTGGAAATTTATCTAGATATTGATATACTGCAAAATTCTACTTCTCTGATGCACAGATGACACAAGCCTTCTCCTCAAAATTCATGAAAATAACAAATAGTCATGTAAGAAAAATTAATAAAAACCTATAGTTATAGTTTTTAATTTTTCATTCATGTTTCACAGTAATGTCCTATAAAGTGTAAAATGTTGTATAGATTAATAAGGATGATAACAAAAAGATAACATTTTTGAACATGATAGAAAGTAGAAAGTCTCCATTTCTGAATGTTTTAGAAACCTTTCTTGGGGAGGGGGGGGGGGTTAGGTGTTATGGGAATCTTTTAACATTTTTACATTGCAAATAGTACATGTTTTCCATTGATGTCAGTACATAAGCATTCATATATCAGATTTTCGAAATTATGATAAAGATTCTTTTATTCAAATTTCTGTTCTTCAATTTTTTCTTTAACCATGGAGATGTTAAAAATAATTATGGAAAAAGAACTTGATTTGCAGCCAAGACACGAAAAATTCAACTTTTATTCTCTTCCGTGATGTTTGGAGTTGACAGGTGTTTGTGATGAAACGTTATACTTGTCTAATTTGAAAAATCTCTCATTGACTTCAAAACAATTAGCTAATGGACTTAAAATGTTTTTCAACATTAACTTCTAGAACACCACAAGTTGCACACAAGAGATAGACTGAGATATCCTAAAATCAAAGAATTTAAAATAAATTTCAGCTTCATGTGACAGCAAAATCTTAAAAATTATTGCAAATGTCTGGACAACTACTTTTTAACCTTCTTAGCACTCATAATAAAAGACAAGATACTTAAAATAGTAAATACAATAGTCTTGCATTTTTTGAAGACATTTTGATCCATATATGAGGCACTTGAAGGCAAACACATGTGTATTTATTGTTTAGTCTTGATCAGTCAATGTGAAGGGAGCGTCCATCAACAACAAAAACGGAACCGTCATATTTACATGTATGACCAACGAATGGGACAGCTATGAACAAAATATGTCAAACTACACGTCCAGGCTAGTTCTTCTGTGATGGTAGATTTATTGGGGGGAGGGGGGTAAAAATATTTTAAAATCATGCATTTTTATCCACTCTTACTTGAAAAACGAGCTCTCTTACTTAAAAGGTAGTTAACAACCCATCAAACCGAGCAATTTTTACCATGCAAAGATATTTTTTTGCCATGTCACGCCCCATCCCCTGTTAGTGGAAAGCCTGGACCCTTTCTTGTTTAGTAAATTTTGAAGTATATGTACCAATATACCACATAGTTAGTTATAAAGCAACAGGAAAAAAATCTTATATTTTATCTTAAATTTGTCTGTATTCCAGACAAAATGTATGCCCAAACCTAAGTGTATCATATAAATGTTACTTTTATATCTCTTATATCGCTTGTGAAAAGGATTAAAGTTACTTTATGTGGGATAAATAAACAAAAATCAAAAAAATGAATACTCACCAACGATAACAAAGAGAAATGGCACCACCGCCAGCACTAAAACCCCGTACAGGAACAGACGTCTAGAGAGCCGCCTCTTAAGGTATATGATTTTCATGATTTTTCATAGAAAATCAATCATCGAGGTCATCAGAAAACATCCTCTAAAAACTTAAGTGATGTATAAAGTTGAGCTCGATGTCATTTTAGTAGCAGTCTTCCCATCCCGCCAGAACGTTTTCCCGCGCAAAGTGTGTCTTCTGCGGCTGCACCGTTTACTTCTGTTTGTTTCTTTTTCTAAAATCCGCAGAGCTCACTAAAGTAATGATTATGTCCAAATGCAGGCATGTTTCTGTTATGATAAAAACCTACAGAAATAGGACCGTTGTCTTGTACCAGCGATGACATTTACATTGTCGACTGACCGGCGTTGATGGCTAACTTTTGACAGCAGTTCATTAGTCACCTTGCCTTGTCGAGATCATAAGAAGAAAGGTGTGCACTTTCCAATTTGCTCTCGTTGCCCCCTCTAGGCGATCTTTTCTAACTTGTGATTCTTATAACGCGTAATATGTCGTAAAGCAAATATTTCATCGCCTAAGTTACTTAATATGCTTATAATTGAGTGTTGGAGAATTGTTATATTTCGCGGACCACCGATGCTTTTCGGCGTATAAGTATATACGTGTAGCATGATTCCCCATTTTTCAAAATCAATGTGTGAATCTTGTCATTGTTGTTAAATATAATTTATAGCCTTGGGTAGCAACTCTGTATTATCTATAGTTTCGGGCGTTAAATATGGTTTAAGCACTTAGGGCTACATATAAATACCATATGAATAGTGTAATATTTGGTGTCAGATTTGTGAAAAACCCTAGTCAAACGTTTTATAAAATCCCTCTTTATAAGACTCTAGTTTTCTAACATATCAGACATATACATGTAGATCGATTATATATATTCAATGAATGTTTTCAATGTATGAAGCTCATATATGCCAACAAAGAATTTTTAGATCATTTATTATTTTTTTTTTTTGGGGGGGGGGGGGATGTCGTTTCTGGTCACCGTACTTTCTCTAAATGGAAAATATGAAAGTCTTTGTACTATAAACCCTTCAATAAAGTAAGTATATATATATAATAGTCTTTTCCTTATTTCATTTATTCAAAACTGATAATATGTTGTTTATTTTTATGACAGTGTTTTGGTGAAATCTAACAGAGAAGATGGTGAACATGAGGAGCAAAAAGCCTATAGTGTGACAAACATGAAGGTGAAAAATCAAATCTCAATTATATCAAAATTTTCCTTGATATTTCAACTAACATTAAAATATACTTTATGTAAAATCTCTACAATTGGCAAAAACCTCACACAGATTGAAATTATTTGCCTATGACATAGCATACACAGACTAAAGAGGACAAAAAGAGTCATTTTCTCATACTATAACACTATTCATCGATATGAGTGGGTCTCCGCTCCATTTTTCTTTTTGAAAGTTAATCCAATACTTGAAGTCCATTAAGTCAAGGGTCATATCACAAACATGATTTAAATGTCCCATTCATCATGACTTGTGTAGTCTAGTGGTTAGCGTGCTAGTCGCGAAAGAAAATGATACTCAGAATTTTTATTGCTACGGTTCGAACCCCACGAATACTCGTACTACGAAAGCCCATTGAGCTCATTTTCGTACATTTTTTTTTTCGCGTTATAACGCGAAGCTTTCGCGAATAAACTCGAAACTTTAGCTTATAACGCGAAATTTTCGCATTATAACGCGAAATTGTATATATAATTATAATATATATATTGTTATGTTAATTAGGAACTCGTGATCTTGACTGGCAGAAACATGAAGGCAGACGCATTCTTTGACTTTATAAGCGACATTTGTACAGAAGATGCTAAAGACAAAATGATGCAAGAATAAAAGGTTATATTAGTCTTGAAATTTTTGCATTTTATCTCAAAACCCTACTTATTAATAAAATGAATATTCCTTTAAATTTATTCTTGTTTTTCACTTCTTGAATCAAAGAAATTCTTTAAACTTTTTTTCAGGAAGATCTCCAATTGTCATTTTATTTTCAAAGCTGTAGCATTAATCATAAAAGTTTCCCACAACTGTACCACTAGTAAAACAATTCTTCATCATTTTGGACTATTAATTATACACTGCAGAAATCTGGCTTAGAGATGAGCTTAACGTACCATATAATGCTTTTAAAAGAGTAATTATAATAGGATACTGTTAGTCACTAATTCATAGGGGAGGAGGGAGTCTACATTTCTTGATAAATTTTCCTCCATCATTTCAAAAGGGTTTATTAAATTAACACCGTCTTCTTCATTTTCTTTAATACTTTAACACATGGTCATTTGTGAATGTCTCTCTAACGTCTTATACTGTATATAGTATACAAGCCTGTTACTTGTTAGCATTGCTTAAACATTTACATAATATAAAGCAGAAATCAATGATCGTTTTGTCTACGTTGTTCAAAGGGACATAATTTGAGTTATCGAACTTTGAAACAAAACTTACATTATGCAAATTTCCAAATAAACATTCAATCACAAGGACAAATTGTATATAAAAGCTGTTTTTGGAGGGTGGAAGGTGGGGGAATATTTCTAATACATTGACAAGTAAAATAATTGTGCTTGTTTAAATACAAGTAGAATTGCACCATACTGCACTCTGCTGCAATACAATGCGATACATTGTGATGCCTGCCAAATTGTCTAATCAAAATTAACTTAGTCAATTTTTTTCTTCTTAATTGAATTTAAAAACGGATTGAATACACACACTTTTTTTCATTTCATGCTTTGAAAAAAAAGGTATCAAAAACAGACTAGAGAGTTCTTTTATTCTCATATTCTTAAATATTTGTTTTCTTTGATATGAATCAAAATTAACAATCAGTTATTCAGTCGAAGGACTTTCGCAAAGTTACGTGTTACTGTTTTTTTTTTTTTTTTTTTTTTTTTTTTTTTTATCGAATGACTAGTTTGAGTATGCGCAAAAGATTCAAAAGAAATGAACACTCCTTTTTGACTGATGAGTAGATTTTTTTGTTTGCAAGAGAATTTATACTGTTTACCATAATAAGAATTTAACTGCATTTTATTGCACTGCACTACAATGCAATGCCAATCAATAAAATGAAGTCCATTTTTGTTTTATATTATGGTATTGAAAATAAGGTGTAAATTAACATATTTTCTAATATATTTTTATTTTTTAAAAAGTTTTGAAAAACAGACTGGATGGAATATTTTCATTCACCTTTTCTAATATGATTGTTCTCTTCCATACGATTCTAAATTAACAATGCAGTAATATTGTCGAAGGATTTTTCGACAATTTTGTTTCATTGCTATTTATTATTTTATGCAACGCCTAGTTTGGGTATATGAAAGATTGAAAAAGAGAGAAATCTCGTGTTTGACTGGTGAGTGTAAATTTTGAGAGTGATGCAGATAAGCACCAGGAAGGATAAACAGAATATATTCTGATAACAGTATTCAGAGCTAAGTTCTCATCAAAGAACAGTTACTTTTGCTGATTTTTTTTTTTTTATTGAAAGACTGATATGGATATATGCAAAACATCCCGAGGAAAATAGGAGTGTCGAGTGAAGTTCTTTAATTGCAAGCTAATTAATTTTGCTTTTAAATAAAAATATTACTGCCATACAATACATTGCATTGTAATGCTTGATGTACTGTCTTATTAAAAGATACTTGGTCAATTTTTATTATTAGGAAAAACAGTGAAAAATATACAGGTATAAACTTTCTGTTTGACTGATGAGTGAATGTTTTGAGACTCAAGCAAAGCGCCGATGACTTTGTAGAACAATCAAAGACGCTTTTCAACACCGCTTAGCAGTACTTGTTTAGTGAGATAAGCTCACAATCAGTCCTTTACACGCGACATTACCCGTCACCGTTATTTACTCTGACTTTAACACATGGTCATTTGTGAATGTCTCTCTAACTTCTTATATATAGTATACAGGCCTGTTACTTGTTAGCATTGCTTAAACATTTACATAATATAAAGCAGAAATCAATGATCGTTTTGTCTACGTTGTTCAAAGGGACATAATTTGAGTTATCGAACTTTGAAACAAAACTTACATTATGCAAATTTCCAAATAAACATTCAATCACAAGGACAAATTGTATATAAAAGCTGTTTTTGGAGGGTGGAAGGTGGGGGAATATTTCTAATACATTGACAAGTAAAATAATTGTGCTTGTTTAAATACAAGTAGAATTGCACCATACTACACTCTGCTGCAATACAATGCGATACATTGTGATGCCTGCCAAATTGTCTAATCAAAATTAACTTAGTCAATTTTTTTCTTCTTAATTGAATTTAAAAACGGATTGAATACACACACTTTTTTTCATTTCATGCTTTGAAAAAAAAGGTATCAAAAACAGACTAGAGAGTTCTTTTATTCTCATATTCTTAAATATTTGTTGTTTTTTTTATATGAATCAAAATTAACAATCAGTTATTCAGTCGAAAGACTTTCGCAAAGTTACGTGTTACTGTTTTTTTTTATCGAATGACTAGTTTGAGTATGCGCAAAAGATCCAAAAGAAATGAACACTCCTTTTTGACTGATGAGTTGATTTTTCTGTTTGCAAGAGAATTTATACTGTTTACCATAATAAGAATTTAACTGCATTTTATTGCACTGCACTACAATGCAATGCCAATCAATAAAATGAAGTCCATTTTTGTTTTATATTATGGTATTGAAAATAAGGTGTAAATTAACATATTTTCTAATATATTTTTAATTTTTTAAAAAGTTTTGAAAAACAGACTGGATGGAATATTTTCATTCACCTTCTCTAATATGATTGTTCTCTTCCATACGATTCTAAATTAACAATGCAGTAATATTGTCGAAGGATTTTTCGACAATTTTGTTTCATTGCTATTTATTATTTTATGCAACGCCTAGTTTGGGTATATGAAAGATTGAAAAAGAGAGAAATCTCGTGTTTGACTGGTGAGTGTAAATTTTGAGAGTGATGCAGATAAGCACCAGGAAGGATAAACAGAATATATTCTGATAACAGTATTCAGAGCTAAGTTCTCATCAAAGAACAGTTACTTTTGCTGATTTTTTTTTTATTGAAAGACTGATATGGATATATGCAAAACATCCCGAGGAAAATAGGAGTGTCGAGTGAAGTTCTTTAATTGCAAGCTAATTAATTTTGCTTTTAAATAAAAATATTACTGCCATACAATACATTGCATTGTAATGCTTGATGTACTGTCTTATTAAAAGATACTTGGTCAATTTTTATTATTAGGAAAAACAGTGAAAAATATACAGGTATAAACTTTCTGTTTGACTGATGAGTGAATGTTTTGAGACTCAAGCAAAGCGCCGATGACTTTGTAGAACAATCAAAGACGCTTTTCAATACCGCTTAGCAGTACTTGTTTAGTGAGATAAGCTCACAATCAGTCCTTTACACGCGACATTACCCGTCACCGTTATTTACTCTGACTTTAACACATGGTCATTTGTGAATGTCTCTCTAACTTCTTATATATAGTATACAGGCCTGTTACTTGTTAGCATTGCTTAAACATTTACATAATATAAAGCAGAAATCAATGATCGTTTTGTCTACGTTGTTCAAAGGGACATAATTTGAGTTATCGAACTTTGAAACAAAACTTACATTATGCAAATTTCCAAATAAACATTCAATCACAAGGACAAATTGTATATAAAAGCTGTTTTTGGAGGGTGGAAGGTGGGGGAATATTTCTAATACATTGACAAGTAAAATAATTGTGCTTGTTTAAATACAAGTAGAATTGCACCATACTACACTCTGCTGCAATACAATGCGATACATTGTGATGCCTGCCAAATTGTCTAATCAAAATTAACTTAGTCAATTTTTTTCTTCTTAATTGAATTTAAAAACGGATTGAATACACACACTTTTTTTTCATTTCATGCTTTGAAAAAAAAAGGTTTCAAAAACAGACTAGAGAGTTCTTTTATTCTCATATTCTTAAATATTTGTTTTCTTTGATATGAATCAAAATTAACAATCAGTTATTCAGTCGAAGGACTTTCGCAAAGTTACGTGTTACTGTTTTTTTGTTTTTTTTTTTATCGAATGACTAGTTTGAGTATGCTCAAAAGATCCAAAAGAAATGAACACTCCTTTTTGACTGATGAGTTGATTTTTCTGTTTGCAAGAGAATTTATACTGTTTACCATAATAAGAATTTAACTGCATTTTATTGCACTGCACTACAATGCAATGCTAATCAATAAAATGAAGTCCATTTTTGTTTTATATTATGGTATTGAAAATAAGGTGTAAATTAACATATTTTCTAATATATTTTTATTTTTTAAAAAGTTTTGAAAAACAGACTGGATGGAATATTTTCATTCACCT